AGATATTATCTTGTTTCTGTTGGCAAGGTGCGAGTTTGGCACGAGCAAAAGCTTTCGAATCTGAATAATCTTGGCGCTTGAAATGTAAGCAGCCTTACCTCTGCCATTGACTTGGTAAACTGCAAGTGAGCGAGTTGCGATATTTCCATCGACGACGATATAACCGCCTACGGACTGAGCCAAACTCACAGACCGACAGTCATCATGCACGATCCATTCGTGTTGTTCTCTCACCACGTATCCCCCTTCATCGAAAGCCATCGTGTAAGCTTTCTCTTGGCACATCGCGCTACGGCCAATAATTATTCACAGCAATCTCGAAACTCGTTTCGTTGGCGACAATCGCACGCGCGATCATCGTCGTCACGTCATCGCTGATCTGTGCTACGTGCAATTGGCATGAGTTCAAGTTCAGAATAGCGAATCTCTTATGTTTTTCGACTTGGTATATCAAAACAATGTTGTCAGTGCCGAAAATGCGCAACTCAAGTACTTCACCTTTGTCAAAGTTGAAGCTGCAGGAGCGCAGGTGTCTTGCGCTGTCGAGAAAAGATTGCCGCTCAATTCTCTTGGAAGAAAGTGCAGTGCCGATCATGGCAGTAACCGAATACTAATAGCGGACTATCTTCGTATAGATTGAACAGTCTTTCCTTCAAGAGCTTGATTTAGATGTATCGAGTAGCTATTCGATGTGTCGATTGCTCTTGAGCTCGTAATGGAACTCAGTAGCAAAAGCATTGCTTCTTTCCGAAGTAATATCGCGATGGATGTTTCTTTTTATTCACTTATCGAAAAAAGATTTCTGCCGTAGAAATTGACAATTTTCTGAAATTACTTTAGAGAATACAAGTTTTCTTATTTTAAGAAATGTTTAATTAAAAACTTCATTTTATGTGAAATAATGATTGTTATTGAATCAATAGCATATTTCAAGTCAGACTAGAGAACTTTTTAAAATGTTTGCTTCTTTACTTTTTACATTTAAATAATCGAAAACGAACTGTAGAAAACATTTTTTTTATTTCGTAGCCGTGATATTTATAAAAAGTTCATTCTTATCTAATTGATTAAAAGTTAAAAAGAATTAATTAAACTCGCAGTCGATCTGGAAATAAAAGTTGACCTTCCAGCAAGTGAACGCAACTAAAGCAATACAAGAAATCATATAAGAAATATTCATCAGTTTCGTAATAAGAGATAATTCATAAATCTAAAGAAAGCGTCGGTAATTCAAATAAAAGTTTGATTGATTGAAAGCTATTGAAAGCTGGAAATCACAACAAGTCTTCACGAACATTCCAACTTGTCATTTGACCATTTTAGATAAGATTACTTAAAATATAAAACAATAACTGCTATTGCTCGATTTATTTTGTAGTGTAAAGTGTATTGTATTGTTGCAGCATTATATAGAGTATTATGAATCCCCAAATTAAACATAGTACATTGATGATGTAATGCGAATGATATAAGAAGAGCAGAATTTTCCTTTTTCTTATAAAATTCCTATCATAAGTATTAGAAATTTCTGCCAGCAAGATAAATCACACTTACTTACAAGGTGTGTCGTTGGGACATAAATCGGAAAAGCAATGATTCCATCCATACTTCAAGAAAAAATGTAAGCTTTCTATTACAAATCCATCTCTTTGTGTACAGATTCAACTTTCAATAACATTATTTCCAACATATTTTCCCGTAGTGTCAAATTTCCATATGTTACTAGCAAAGCGGTAAGTTGGGATACATTTCTTTATTTTATCATCACGAGAATCGGTAGTTAACACTAAAAAAATCGTCTCTCGACAAGTTGAAAATATTTAACAAATGTATAAGATTAGCGAGATTTAGCACCTTTTCGATCTTAATATTACCATCAAGGTCAAATTATATGTAAGTGATGTTTCCGATAACCGTGTAGAAAACTGTCAATAATTGATGCGTTCACTTTATTTGCTTTTTCAATCTGTTATCGATAGCTGAAAACTCTCTTATCATATCAGATCTAAAATTCGAATTGAGTTAATGATTCATTGTATTTAAAAAAAATAATTTGTCTAAGCTTGCAGTCATTATCAATCAAGTAAAACCAAAGTGTTTTATTCATCGGACGAGTAAAATCGATTGCCTAGTAATCCTTGCTCGGAGATTTTGATAAAGCAGTGAAGTTATATGGTGTACCTATCCAATTTCTAATGTTTACAACATTTTCACTCAAATCTCACGTACGAGAAAATTGGCATTCAAAGCTCATCGAATCATGAACTATGATATCAATCGTTTCGTTATCAGCTCCCGACATGTATGAAGATTTAATATCCAAATCACCAACCTTTATATAGGCAGTCTACAGTTCACGAAATTCATTATTACACACCAGTCTTTGTCGTGTTCATTACTCCATTTCAGTAGAGCTTTTTTACTGTCAATTGCGAGAAGACGGTCGGAAGGTCGGATGCAATTTCTCCTAGTGCCAGAGAAATAATAACGGCAATATTGCAGAAAAGCAAATTGTGTTGATCATTCAATTTTTTAGAATTTAGTCTATCAGTTTCTAGCAGTAGACAAGCTGTGCATTCATTAGCTAGGGATTCAGTTTGTTCCAAAATATCATATACGAGGTTTCAATCGATAAAACTACCATTTCCTTTTGGTATCAGATTACTATGTCTTTGGAAAGCATGATGCACAAAATAATTTTTAAAACCGCTAACGTGAATTACAGTTACGCGTGAAATTTCAATAGCGATTATTTCTTTGATTACAACCAGTTTACTTACGTATTTCTGAAATCACGATTATAAATAAGAATTTCGTAAAAATTAGATTTTATTTAAATAGATAAATTGATTAATAAAAAATGTACAAGAGCGTAAAGCAAAGAGGCTACGTTTCTTACTCTTATCTGATAAAATGATTTAAAGTTCATACTCCGCAACGAAAGAAAAATGTTTAGTTTCATGCGATCAGATAATGCTCACGCTATACGTATGCTCTAAAAATTCTAATAAAACTTACCTACCATTCACTTCAACTCAACATATATATAAATATTTAATGACGATTTGCGCTAAGGTCTTTATCCGTCGGTGTACGATTACATTCGTGCAAGAGAGAAGATACTAGTTCTATGAACGCAATTACTGTGCACTGATGATTGAAATAAGATGGTTTCATTGTTGATCTTCATCTGACCAGCCAGTCGTGACTGTTAAAATAACTTTTCATCGCAAACATTCATCGCACTAGGTATAATTTATTCAATAAATGAGTTTATAAAATTAATAAGAATTTCACAAAAAAATACGATATTTTTTTCACGCAATCTCATCAAATGAGGTCCAAACGTGACAGACAAATAACTTAAATTATCATCTGCTTATCATAAATACACATAACGTACATTAGGACACATATTAGAGAAGCAAAATTCCTGTTTTTCATTCACGTGAAAGTATTATGTACTAATGATAAACCCACGACTAGAACAAATGAACGTACTGATACTTATATAAACAACAATTCATCTTTAGCATCTAAATACCAGTAATATCAATTTACATAAGAGCGTAAGTAATATTCGATTCTGTCGTATAGCAAACTGTCAGCAGTTGATATGTCAATGAAACATCAATAGCTTCTTCTAATCTATGATTGTTAGCCGGAAACACCTTTATCACATCTATCTCGCCTGAAATAGAAGCATTATTATCAATTGATGCATAAAAAATTTCATAATTTATTTTTATTTTTCACCCTTTTCGTTAACTTTGTAAACGCGAAGTGTTTTATTTAATTGCTCAGTGTAATCAACTGCTAGATGATTTTTATTTTTCGACCGCATCAAAGAAATTATATTGTATGGAATCTTCAATCATTCTTTCATGTCTTCCATAACATTACCATCGAGAACTAATGTACATTTACAAACAGTCGACCTACGCCGAAAACTCTGAATTTTTCATGATGATATCAATTGAATTTTCGTTAGTTCCTGTTACGTACGAAGACTGAATCTTAAAGTCGTCGACCCTGAGGTAGATGGCACTATAGTTGGAAAAATCAACTATTGCATATCGACTACTATCATTTTTATTTTTCCACTTTAAAAGCCCTTTTCCAACCTTGAATGCGTAAAAATCAAAGTCATGGCCGACTTTCCCACGACTTTCGGTAGAAAAAAGAGCTATGTTGCATAACAGTAAATGCTCGCCTTGTTTACTTAATAGCTTGTTAGTTTTTAATGCAAGAGAATATTTGCGTTCATCAGCTGTTGGTTCAATTTGATCACAAGTGCTGTAAATTAAACCTGGAGCATTGGAAATAACTCGATCTCGAGAAAAGTTACTTCGTTTTTCTAACATGTGAGGAATAGGAGTTAAATTGAAGCCGCTGGCACTGACTATGATCGAGATTATCAATACAACAGCTTCAGTAAACTTACCGAATGAACACTTGAGATGTTCATGTACAACTGATGCACTGATCAGTTGTAACTAAATATATCGTATGGATAGTTTACAGTGATTTGCATTCTGCAATGCTTTTCTGCTGGTTATTAATTGGTAGAAGCAAAGAAAAACGCATCGATCTCATGGATTGAATTTATCTACGTGTAACTTTCTCAATAGTAAAGTTATTTTTTATTCTTACAAACTCGTTCTGATCATTATTTGACAGGAAATGTGGTAGTAATTTAATTGAGATTAGAAAAAGATCACAGTTTAATACAAGTGAGCAGAGGATACACATGACACACTTATGAATGCATGTATCGCGTCGATCAATGACAATTATGCAAGTAATAAAAAATGATTACGTGTTACCGATTGTACGATGCAGCCCTACTAGCGGTTAAATACAGAACTGACTTAGATCATTAGTGGCTTGAAACTCAATAATAGTGAAGTTATTTCTATTACTGAATAAAAATTATAGTCGTTGAAACAATGCTAGGGTAATTTTTTTTTGTTTAGTGTGCAATGTAATAAAAATAAGCATTTATCATTTCAATGAACTTTATCATAATTAGCTAAGAGTTGATTATTGTTTGTTTCAGGTTAGAAGACATTATATTTGGAATGACCATTGATTGTGTAAGTGTTTTACAGCTTTTCATAAAACTGATTTTACAGCATTCATTAGCATGTTGTTTATTTAAATGAAGTATATAAAAATATTTTAATCACTCTTGCTAAGATTATAAAGTTATTAAAAAATTTTATTTGTCATTCTTTATTAAAATTGAACAAAAAATATAAATATACTGCCATATGTAATGAAAAAAATTATATAAATTAATTATAAAAGCTCAACGGCGACGATAGAGATTCTTTGGTTCCTTGTGCAATATAAATTTTCATACCTACAATTTATTTGCGTCTGAATGTTCTAACACATGATATATTTCCTAATTATAGAAATTTTCTTTCATGTATGAAATATAATAATGTGTGAATTTTCAAACGCATTATTTCAGATTATGCCAGCCAAAATCTCCGATATATTCCCCTGCGTATCGTATCGCTGAAATTCGATCGTAATAACATAAATAAACATTTAGAAATAAGAAAAGAAGTAACAGAATAATTTTACACTCTACATAAATAACAGTAATAACATAATTCACCCGCTTAAATCTTTCTTCGTGAAACAATTCACTTCGACGCTCACTCGGCCATCTGTTCCTCGATAATCGCACACATAAGATAAACAAATATTTTTGTTTTCATTTCTGACGAAATGAATGGCATCCAAATTGAACCTGTCACCACATTTCAATTGTGCTATTTCCAATGATTTTAGGATTTGCGTCACTGGATCGAAAATTCTGAGCGAAAAATATTTTTCATCGCCGGTCAGACATTCTTCGACAAAATCAATCTTTGAACAATTGATGGTGAGTAATAGAAAGCCACCATCGGGAAGATTGAATACTTTAGCGGAATGCAAGTATGTGAAATCTATTGGCTTGAAATTTGTCTCAATCTTCAATGCACCATGGTGATCAAATTGCCCGCACGTTAAATTTGAATAGTTCAAGGCACATACGGTTAGAAGTTTGTGAGTTGACGATACTGTTATCTTATTGGATTGTGGGTGAAGATTTCCTGCCGGATATTCCTTAAGTATTTTAACTAGACCTTTATCAAGCATAACAACGAAAAAAGTCTTAGCGATTAGCGAGAATTTCATATAGTTCCATTTGTAACTAACTGTCGTACTTACCATTACTGTCGACTTTGTACACTCGAACAAATGTTTTGTTTATGACAGAGTTCGTATCAACAACCAAACGTTTTCCACTAGCAATATGAACGATATCAATAATATCGTTATATTCGTCAACCCAATTGGTAGGATTTTGAATAACGTTGCCGTTCACGTCTACAATCATTCGGCACCACTTTGCACGCAAACAAGGACTTTCTTTTCTATTATCTTGCACAATGACGTCAAAAGTGCCATTGAAAGGTGCGCTTATTTTATTCAAACTGACTTTCCAGTCATCGTGGATCTTCGGATATACGACTCTACAATCTGAAAAATTAACAATGGCAAATCTGTTGTAACGACTTAAGAATTGTAAGATAACTGTATTTTCGTCGAGGGCGTAAATATTTTTGACTCTGTTCACGGGCATACTACTGGACCTGATAGTAATATCACAAAAACGCAAATGGTCGTACGAATCAGGTGGTTCGTTGGTTTCAACGATCAGAGTACAACTACAATCGTAGCTCGTCTCATTGTTGTCGCATACACCGTATACTAATCGTGAACTCGGCTGTTCGTGTGTATCTTGAAAGAGCTCCGTTGAGAATGGCAATATGTGCGTTATCGTTTGCACTTTGATACATGAGATTTCTATCACTTGCGATACGATCAAGACGGAGACCAATATTAGCATTATTTTTTCACTCGTCTTCATCCTACTTGTTTTTTTCGTAATACTGAAAAAGAAAGTTTTTGTAATAAATAGCTCCGAAAGCAATAAAAAGAATTATTGTCACAAATAAATTAAATCCGGTTAGATAATATAAGACATTGAAATGGTGTTATTGTTCTGTCTGTGTACGTAGGAACGAACAAAAATCAGCTGCCGATAAAAATCTACAACATATAGCGAATGTATCGTTTGCAAACAAATTTAAAAAAAAAACATACATTACCAAATGTAATTTGATTGCGTTTTTCCGTCCAAACCTGCTTATTTCGCGGATTGGATAAAATAATATCTAATGAAAATACACGTGCTCGCTTCTGAATTACCCTCTGACTCCGACACTAGCAGCCCACGCTTCGTTTTCCCACTGCGACCTCTGACGTTACAAGGGTTGAGGCCCCTTTTCAGGTACTCATATCTGCGCGCGCACATCTTTATTAACCGGTAAATTTAAACTTTCATTCTTGCAATGTATCAAAGTTAATATCGATTTTTTAATAGCGTTAATGTAAGTGTGTAAAACAGTGCTGTATATTCATTTGATTACGAAATTATTTATGTCTAAGTCAACCAATAATTAAACTTACCAAAATTCAAACACCCACGATGCAATGATAATAATATAATTTATTTTTAAAAATATTCTAGATAAAATGTACTTGTTGAAGTAAATTTGACGAAAAAAATACAATGTGCACTAGCGTGAATAGAAAACGTCTTGAGATAAGATAAAAGAGATTCAACGTTCAGATACAGCAGAATAACAAATAATTATTGAGAGAACAATCACTTCTCTCTCCATCGTGGGTGGAAAACCTCTACACGTTGTCAGTGAACAGAGCATACAACTTATAACTACTTTGTTTTTTTCTTCGTTCTTATCCCATTCATTTCCAGAACGGAAAATAGATAAGCATTACGTAAATATGTGACCGAGAAAGTAGAATATTATTACGACGTTATCATTGATTGAAATATTTCCATATATATAAGAATACGATGCTTTGATGAATTTTCCCATTAAAATAAATTTGACATACAAGAGAAAAGAAGTAATTATTAATACAACGTGACTGAATTGTAGTATATTGCAAAGAAAGAAATTTAATATTTTCTTACCTGATTGCACTAAAGAAAACCTTAATATTTTTCTCTTCACCTCATATGAGTAATAATTATTGTCTGATAATTTTTGATTATACCGACATCAATTTTATAACCTTCTAAAGCTTTGGAGGTGAAGTTATAAATGCGTGGATGGTTTAAGTTACTCGATGTGTGGGTCGTTAAAGCGATAGAACGTTCACGAAGATAAGTTCCTTGAAGATAAATTCACACTTGCGTCGATTTATCTTCAACACGATACTGATTACAAAACTCGAAGAGGACTCAGCTCCAATTGTATTGCTGACAAAGTTTTGAAAAGAACAGTGTTGGAACAAGTCTTATGCTAATCACTCAAAAGGAATTTTCAGGTGTGATCGATTACATTTAAGTAACGATATTAGTAAGTAAGTTATATATAAGTAACGAGATGGATCGATTATCACTCATCCGTTATATCCTCTAAGCGAACGTACATCGTATCTTCAGGAAGAGTTTCAATTTTTGCATGCTTCTTGATTCAAATTATACGTTTTTTTCAATTACACACTTGAAATGCGCGCGCCGTCGGCGGAAAGCAGAGCGCGAGAGTATAATGTAGGTCGACGGACAGTAAGCGAACGAACGAGAAGAGAGAAAGCTTGGTGGGCGAGTCGAGAGTGTGTGCCGGCCATCTTGAGGTTCGGCGAAAATCAGAATGCTGCAGATCGGGCAAACGGGATCTGTTGCGCTCGATCACCGTAGGGAAGTAACCGAGCAGCGTTATAAGTGAAGAGAGAACTAGTTTGGCGCGCACGTGCTTCCTATGATCGGACGGCTCCGGACAATCGACGGCAAAGGAGCGTCGGATCGTAAGCACACCCAGCCAACAGCCAGCAGGGTACCTCGTTAGACAGCCATTACCCCAGTGAGCGTTAACCAACATCTCGGTGTGCTCGACTACCCGCCAGCGGCGCACTTAAATCATCACCCCGACGCGCCTTGTTGTCAACAGCTGCGGCTCATCGTCTACGCTATCATCGCCGACGATGAGTTCTCTCTCTCCCCTGTATCAGGTCTGCGTTTGGATGCCATCGTTTGGTAGAGCGCTTGGTGAGCATGAGTGCTGTCAAGCCGCTATAATCTACAGATGGACCGGTACTTCTTTTACTGCGTTGGGCGCAACCGTTGGGAAGTTGATTTGCCAACGGTCGCACATATACTCAATACGACGCAAATGAACGCGGTTTGATTTTTATTTCAGTGAGTATTGCAGCGGTCTGCCAATTTTTGATAAAAACATGAAGCATAAGTCGAGTTTTTATCGAAAACAAATTGATTATAATTCTTGTGTCGACCTCGTTCACTGTTCGTCTCTTCACCTGCATGAGGTTAGAGCAATCTCTTCACCTTCCTTCCCAGAGCAATAAAAAAAGTTTGTAACGAAGGAGAGAAAGAGAGAGAAAGAAGTCGTGGACTAGTCGAAATCCAGCAAATACGGCTTAACTGTTGAAGCTAAGCAAACGTTAAGGTTAACTTCATCAGTTGTTTTTCTCTTATCACATCGCACAACAAGCACAGTATTTTCTTTTCAATTACGAAGGAATTTAAAAATCAATGCACACATTTAACTAACTAATTCATTTTTTAGATTATAACTGTCCTTCTGTCCAGGTTAACTTTTTTTACAAAAAGAAGTTTATTTACTTTATTTGCATAGAACTTCATACCGTTTCAATCATTCCACGATATTTGTCAAGAAACCGCCACTTCGAAGATTGTGCTTTTCAATAAATATAAGAATTTTAATTCAGTAAAATGCACATTCATTTCTAACTTCAATATGCCATTCGAATCTCATTGCCCACAATTTACATCCAAATTAATTTGCAGAAAAAACTGTTAATTGATGAGATATCACTGAGACTGATAAATTATTATTTTCAGGGTCATCTATTTTCTTGCGAAAGCTCTGATGCTTTTCATTGAATCTGTTATCTACACTCATTTATCAATTGACATTTTATATATTTAATATTTTTAATAATCAGCAATCGTATTTCGTTCTTACACTTTTACGTATAAAAATACGTTTGAAGGTAGCTCTATTATTCAAAATCATGGACTGATGCAGAAGTTAAGTTAACGAATCTACATAGCTAATTACGATATCATCTTCAAGCCACTTCTTTGATCATCTATATAATGATATCTTCCGAGTTAATTTTTGCATCCTTCAGAGCCACTATAAATTTGAAACTTATTGTGGCTGTTAAGGATGATATCAAAAGCATTATTAATAACAGGGTATATCTTAAATCTATAAATATTAAATGATCAAATAAATCAATCGACCTCTTTTTAATAAAATTTCTAGATTTTACTGGAACCTTACAGGGTTTCCCCGAGTTATCTTTCATATGGATAAAGCAAACCCAGGAAACTAAATCTGGACTAAAAAGGATGCATAATCATTCTATAAAAATCTGCTGGGATAGTCATGAGATTTTGAATAGAGTTCTATGCAGGCGGAAGATGTAGTATATGCAGCGATATTATTATCTACGAGATTCATAATTTTTCCGGGAATATATCGTTTGATCTTCTGTGGATTTTACAAGAAGACAGCGAGATGTTCTTAACTGTGAGAAAAGTATAAAAATAAATAAATTATATTATAAGAAAATTCATTTTCGATTTGTATTTTGTAATTTTCCAATTTCGATACAGTCGATCGTACTTTATTAAAAATTACGGTTAGCATGACGATTATACTTGTCCAAATGAAACTGTACTAAATACAAGACCATAGATAACAATGGTCTTGGCATATAATCAGCGAGGCAAACGCGTATTGTACATTGCGACACAACTTTTTGTCATTACAAGAAAAGTACCTTGTTTGTAACTGTATACAACATTACATTAACTTAAAATGCACCAGCAATGTCAACTTTTATTGACATTAAATATTTTATATTGAGTATCATCTGAACAACAGCATACAGAAACAAATAGGATTCAATTTCATTGGGAAATTTATACATTCGATTTTTAATATTTTATTAAAATTTGACGTATCTTTTATATTCCACTTTATTTGTTAATTAAATATTACTTTGCAGAATCTCGTTTTCGTTCTACTATATAAATATTGTGCAGATATTATACTTTCTAAATTATCAATATTTACTCAAATTAATTTACTGATTCAAATCAACGTAATAAAACTTTGAAATTTATTTTTTAATAAGTTAAACTCTATGAATTGATTTTATATTGAGGTTCTTTTATATCGATACAATTTACGTGAATAGTAAATTTACCTTATTTATAAACAAGTTGGCTTCTTACGACCTCAAGATAATTGATTTCTAATTATACTTTAATAGTTAATACCACTGCATTTTCTATTAGGTCACTCAATGTATTACAATTTGAAATTCTTCGACTTTGTAACAAATGAGTATACTTCACTACAAAATCCATAGATAAAAGATAGGTAATAATCTCCATTTTCTTGTTGAAAAAATCGTTACACAAAGGAATTTTTGCGAGAGCTTCATACTTTAATAAATTATGTCATTTTCAACTGTCCCAATTCTTGTCCAATAGAGCTAATTTTTTCAACAAGTAATATTTGTTACACTCATTGTAAATAGTATAATCAATGATAGATGATAATCAATACAAACATAATTACTAGAAATAATCTACCATTAGATAAATTCTGTTCAAGTGAAGATGGTCGTTGACTGACTTTACATCTTCGCCAAGCTGGATTAAAGTTAATCGGTTTTGTACGAGGAAAATAGGATGAACTTTTTTCGGTTTTGATTTTACAGGAATAGATGTAATGACCACTAGATTTTTTATGTTTAAAAATACACTTCATTTCTTTATTTACCAGAAATCGCTATCATGAAAACAAACAACATCAAGTACGGCACTTTCATTTCGTTGCGTCGCATACGATAAGCACATTCCATCTTCGTTATTTACAAAGAAATGTAGTAGCTTGGGATCAACTCGATTTGGTTTTATGCATTCGAACTTTCCAAATTTATTTCCAATAGCATCAATTTTATAAACAAAAAACGAATCTTTCACTTCAGAACAATTCTTTTGATGTTGTTCCAAGCATTCAACGATTACCAATAAGAAGCCACCATTAGGCAAATTGTGAATATTCAAGGATTGTACATCTAAATGTTTGTGGATGGGTAAAGTTACCTCGAAACTTTTATTACCATCTAACTCGAATTGTCCACAGGTTAAAGATGCA